AGTTCTCATTTAATATTTCGGGTTATTAAAAAAAAAAAAAAAAAAAAAAGGGTAAAGCCTATATTTTTACTTTTCTCCCAACACAAACTTTTCTGCAAACTTACCTTATATACCAAGTTAACAGATTAAACACACAAAAGGATCACATTTACAGGTCAAGAATTTAATAAAATGTTCTGGGTATAATAAGATAAAGACAGTGTCACAAGCCACACTTTAATGTGGAAGCTCATACGGCATAAGCTTGTAATGAGAGCCGCACTCTGGACAGCGGTTCACTTCTCCCTCATGGATCCAGAACCAGATAACTGCAGAATTATCTTCTTCACCTAGAACAGAACAAAGATTAACATGAGTACATTAGAGAGTCTCACACCTCAGCTGAAGTTTACATTTAACATTAGACATTAATAGCAAAGGAGAAGCAAGTCTCCATGAACAAGCCTTTTGGCAAAACACGGCAGACCCTGTGGATCTTATAACATTGGAGATTCGTGGGAATAAACCTTTTTACATTGAGGTTCTGGCTGTTGAGTGCTGCTTTAATACATTGGATTAAAAGGAGAAGTGGGATTACAAAGCACAGCACTTAGGAACTTTGGCATAGAGATTTTACCACAAGCCTGTGGGTGATTCCTCCAACAAGCACCCACCTATAAATCAAAATGTTCCTTTGGAATACCTGCGCTTAAAAAAAACAAAACAAAAAACCAACCCGGGAAACAAAACAAAAAAATAAAAAAAACATTTCAGAATGGCACTACCAGATTAGATTTACATATTTCACATACATTTATATTATGCTGTTCCTTTGACAACTCAAATGTATGCACAATCTTCTCAGTCCTAGTGACAGTGGTAACCTCCCGAGTGGGGACACAGACAGCAACACCTTACACTTTAGCCACTGGCGTTTTAATTGAGACCCAACATAGCCTAGTCCAATTAAAACTATGTTTAATGAATCTGCATTACAGATGCGGTGTTCTGTTTTGCTACCAATATTTCTTCTCTCATCCCACTTATTTGGAAAACTTTCCGCAAAGCTTAAAAACCTAGCTGCAAAAATCCAGCCACAGGAGCTGCAGGAGCGTGTAACAAAACCTCCGATTTTAAACCAGAGTAGTTGAACAGATTAGCTTTTTCTTTTGTTGCTGGCTGGCTTAAAAAAGGTTTGCTGGGGACTTCTAGTGCACATTGGTCTGCCCATTGACACCCTTTCTTTTTAGAAAGTTTTAAAACCGATCTGAGAAGCTGCATATTCGCTTATTTGGATTTGGTGCAGACACAGACTAGAAGTCTTCAGCTGCCTTGTTTAGATAATGTTTCGGCTCCTAGCGTGTAGCTGTGACTTAGAAGGATGGAGCTGCCTCCAGTTGATCCTGCATTGCTATACATGTCCCATAGTTTGAGACCCAAGACAGTGTAGAGATAGGGACCACATTTACTAGCTGTGCCTTGACCGGGGCAGTGGGGCTTCTCCATATACCTGCAGAGGTATGTAACTAAAACAACTGTTTTAACCCAAATAATTAAACAGATTAGCTTGCTTTTGTTGCTGGCTAGCTTGACAAGTTATTTATTTACTTATTTATTCACATTTATTTATATTTAAGCAATTTTTATTAGTCAATTTACATTGTTGATTTTTGTTTCGTTTATTCACATATCACTTCAGCAATTTTTATTTCACATAATAAGATGTTCACTTATAAAAATTATAAATATATAAATATCTCTACCACTTATTTATTAAGTCATTGTTGGATTCTCACTTCACTCCAGGAGACCCATAGCGCTCACTATTCTAAAACCATTTTGTGAGGCTTATCTGGCCTTAGTTCCAGCAGCTTGCGGTTAACCCTTACTCTGTGAAATCTCCCCCTTTGGGTCTGTTTCATAGCGCAGAACATTCAACCTTCCACCCCCTAGCTTGACAAGTGTTGCCAGGGGCCTCTTTTGTAGTTTTACTCATGGTTCCGGAATGGTACACAACCTGATGCAAGTCTAACTTTGTTTGGATGAATAATCATATTGACATAAATAGCCAATATCTCCAGATTATTTAAATTAACTACGCCTCTTAAAACTAGACCAGCATCCTACATTGCCATTTCAACTCTGCATGATACCTCAACTGCCAGGCTATTCCAGCATCTCGCCTGGCTGGAGGAAAAAAGAAAAACCCAAACAACTGTAGGAAGTACACCGTTCAGCATATGGACAGATGTAGTGTTGTACCTAATAAATACTATAGGATTATGGACTCCGCCATTTTTTTTTTAAGCAATATAAAATTAAAAACGTGGTCACCCCTGTAGGGTTCCATATTCGGTAATTCAGAACTAGCAACCAGATTATATATATCCAACACACGCTATTAAATGGTCAACTGATGTCACAGACGGTGCCAGTACTTACACACACAACCAACAATTCTCTGTTTGTTGATGGAGGGCACAAGATGAGGGTTTTCCTTTGTTCCTGCTGGGCCGCTCTTTGGCAGAATGTTGTATGGATCCTTTCAATTGGGGAAAAAAAACAATTATAATTTATACTGAAAAAAATGATCTAGCGAACTATCGTCAAGGTGTAAACCCCGTTTTCATGTTTTATCCCTCATAGAATGACAATATAAAGTCTCAAAACACAAGGTACCTTTCCAAATCATAGCACAGAAGCAAAACAAACTACCACAACAGTAAAAAAAAAAAAAAAAGCTGTTCCAGGATTTTAAGTTACCTCTCCTCTCTTCAATGCCTGCAAAATCTTCCTTTCAAGTCCAGTGGCCTGCTCTTCATCAGACGGAATACCTTCAGAGAGACACATTTGCATTTAGACTAAAGAAGAAGTCTAAGAAATCTGAAAATTAACCCTTTGGGTGAGGCTACCCCCACACATTGGAAACATTTAATCTTACATAAAATGAGTAGTAATGATATTCCTACAAGTGGCAATCATGGGGAGCCTTCCAAAGTTTATGATTGAAAAAATAATCGTACAGAACTGAAATATCTACAGAAAACTGCCACTCACAGTTTTGAGCAACCAAACAATCCTTTCGAGATATATTCCTTTAATTTGGAAGCAGAATACAAGAAAAGCGCTGACAGAGGCTTTTTCCTGCCTTCTAGGATTCCCATTGTTTCTGTACACTGAACAGTGCATGGGCAGCTCACTGCACAGTTTTGACAGCCAAGGCAAAGTAACACCCATGAGCATGCGTGGGAGGTACGTCATCTAGGCCTGGCCAATTAAGCAGCCAAAGACTTTGAACCTAGAAAAAGACCGGGACGAAGATGGAAGCATTGGTAAGGGAGGAGTGTGCCGACATCAGTGCTGGAGGGTATTGCTTTGGCAGGTAAAGAACGCAACAATGTGCAAGAATCCTGTGCAAACTAACACATTATAGCTAAAAGCTCCTCCCCCACCTCGTTCCTTTTTATTTTAAATCAAGACTTTGCTTCCACTTTGAGGAATAACTAAATGTAAAATGAAAAATATATTGCAGCTTACTAGTCCTTAGAAGTGACTGTATTAGTTTTCTTTTTTCACACTAAGAACATTTTCAGCAACTACAGAAATAACTGCTGATTGACAGAAATGACACGACGGTCACTTCCTGTGAACTGACTGAAAATGCATCACCTGTGTTTCTAAACAGTGAGATGCGCAGGCCAGGACCTGCGTGCAATGTAGCCGGCCTTTAACAAACAGGTACATGCAAACTTGTGTACAGCTGCAGCAGTAACATCAGGCAGGCAGATGCATAGGACGCTTCTCTTGTTAGCATCCAAGGGGCTTTCGATCTTGTATGACAATCTTTAGGATGTTTATGAAGTCTTCCCAGAAAAAAAAAAAGTTTCCACAGCCCACTTCCAGCCATTTGAATAACAAAACATCTCTGGTTTGCCATCTTGGCAGTAGAACAAGGATAGCTATACAGGGCATCTACATGGGCTCACCATTGTAAAACATCTAAAGAACTGTCTACACAGCATTTCATGTCTGCTGCACCGCTTAGACTAAGATGCTCTGTTGTCTGTCGGAGAGTGGACTCCATTCTCCAACAACCTGATAGTAATGAAGGAAATTAGGGATGCACAGAACTAGTATCAGTGCCGCTACTGAGTATTTGGGCGAGCACTCATACGCTCCCAAATGCTCAGATGCCTAGCCCGATACCCAAACATCCGGTGTCAGGAAGCCGGGCAGCGAGTCATTAGATCCTTGATAGGCTAGGAAGTTGGCTCCATGCTTCCTCGTCACTTGGTGAGGAGTGAGCCGGCTTCCCGGGCAATCAGGAACCCGGGCAGTGTGTAATGGCTCAGTGACCGGCTTCCTTATTGGTCGGGAAGCCGGCTCCATGCTCATCAGGAAGCCGGGTGGCGAGTCTTTAAATGCCGCCTGGCTTCCTTAACGGGACTTCTGGTATGGGTATTCAATATTGGCGAGTACCAGAGAAAAAAAGAATCTGTACTCCATACTGAAAGAACGGTGTCTGTGGATCCCTACAGGAAATGCACAGCGTGGTGCAGTGCCTGTGGTGTCCTATGGCTATACTCTGTAAATGCTACCGACGATAAGGCCTCCCGGTCACTTCCTTGTGTTTATATGTACCCACCCTTTTGTAGCTTTAGCCTCATTTAGGAATCATTCTTACTGTCACAGAGCGTGCAGAAGGCCCTGGTTTATGCACCAGAAGTAAATGGTGTTCTGTGGAGTCACAGCCAGCTAAAAATCTATGACAGGCTGATATGCACAACAGCTAGGGATGCACCGATACCGGTATTTTGATACCGATAATTTTTTTTCGATACTCGCCGATACCAATTACCGAGTGACGGAAGTCCCAGGTGGCGTGTAATGACTCGCCACCCGGCTTCCCGATTAGCCGAGAAGCTTGTAAAGACTCGCCACCCAGCTTCCCGATTAACAAGAAAGTCCCCTCTTACCTTAGTATGTGCAGCCTGTCACCCCTGGGGCCTCTCTAGCGAGAACGCAGCCTTCCTCCGGTACCCTGCCAGAGTCGTCTGGCCGGCCAATCAAGAAGCCAGGCGCCGTGTAATGACGCGACACCCTGCTTTCTGATTGGCTGGCTCCATGCACCCTCGTCATGAGATGACGAGGGAGCATGAAGCCAACTTGGCCGGCTCCATGCTCCCTCGTCATGGGATGACGAGGGAGCATAAAGCCAGCTTCCCGGCCAATCAGAAAGCAGGGCGTCTCGTCATTACACGGTGCCCGGCTTCCTGATTGGCCGGCCAGAGAAAGGCTGCGTTTCCCCTGGAGAGGCCCCGGGGTGACAGGCTGCACATACTAAAAAGGTAAGGAAACCTTACCTCACGAGGCCAGCTTCCTGACCAATCTAGAAGCCGGGCAGCGCGTCATTACACGCTGCCCGGGAAGTCGGCTCCATGCTCTCTCATCACAAGTGACAAAAGATCATGGAGCCGCTTCCCGGCCAATCGGGAAGCATGTAATGACGAGCTGCCCGGCTTCCTGATACCAGAAATACTTGTGCTAGGCATCGGAGCATTTGGGCGATTACTCGCCCAAAATACTCGGAATCGGCACAGATATTGATACTAGTACTTGTATCAGTGCATCCCTAACAGCAGCTATACAAATCTTCTCACACACCTGAAATATATACATACACACACACCAGGAATAGACGCACAGCCCTGGATGCAGACTGCATTCAAGGCTGTGCAGCCCTCCCTGGAAGCATATACATGTTCAGATGTACGGGGAGATCCGTACAGTCACTGCACATCAGCCTGTCATTGATTTTTAGCTGGCTGCAAATGCATGGAACACCGGTAAACCCAGGGTACATAAACAAGTGCCTTCTGAAATCTGTGTTCATATGTGAAACCCACACAAATCTGCTCTGGACACACGAAATTCAAGCCTCTAAATCAGAGAGGGGCAACTCCAGGCCTCAGCTGTTACTGGAACTACAAGTCCCATGAGGCATTGCAAGACTAACAGTTACAGGCATGACTCCCAGAGGCATGCTGGGATTTGTAGTTAAAGCACAGCTGGAGGGCCAGAGTTGCCCACCCCTACTCTAAATGAAGCTGAATGCAAACACCCTGTGAGACCGATACCATTAAAAAAGGGAATGATACACATTTGTGTTTAGAAATGTCCTCTAAACACATATTTGCCAATGCCGGTGTGAATGAGGCCTTAATGTTTATATTTTAACTGGTTGACCTGACAAGCTGGAAAAAAAATGTCAGCTCGCTCTTTATACATAAGCCACCCATTATAAATATAGAAGACTGTAGGGTGTATGTGAAGGCCCCAGCCTGGCTTCACGTACAGGATTTGTACACAAGGTCACACCGATCTGTCCCTGGAAATAGACGTAGCCGGCTGTCACGTGTTCTGCGCCACGGAGATTGGAGCCGCAGTGGAGTACGTGCCGGGGGGCGGGGCCTCTGTGCACATCACACTCTCCCATTCACCTCGAGTACCGGAAAGTCATATACAATGACCTAAATTCTGCCCTTCACAGGGCACTGACATCCCGCCTAAAGCCACGAACTGTCCATGTGCCACACACGGGGTCATTCATAACACACAGGGTCATTCGTAACACACATAGTGCTACACTGTGCACACTGAGGCCCGCAGACAAGCAAGTGCAGGGGTCGGGGGTCTCACTCACCACCGCTGCTCATGGCCCTGGTGCAGGCTCTGCTGAGGCACACGGTCCGGGGTACAGAGGCAGCCCGCAGGAGCAGCTGACACATTCTCGAAGAAGCCATCCTTCTTCCCTGTACGAGCAGCTTCAGCACTGAGAACAGACTACTGAAAGGGAAAGGGTGGGACTGGGCTGTGACCACGCCTACTTTCCCCACTGCTGACCGTACCAAGTCTCGTTTACGGGGGAGCTGACAGCGAAATTCTTGGTACATCATACACTGTCGGGCCGGAAGGTCTTACATATAATATTTGTGCTTCAGATATTTGCTACGCTGTCACATAGACACGTTTCTGGTGCTAGATGAATAAAAGCACAAAGTAATCATTGCAGGCTAGTGATGGTACGAGCTCCCTCTGTTCATAGAATGGGTTGCAAGTGACAGTTATACATTTACAAAGTGATAGGACGTTTCCTGTATGAAGTGCTAAGACATTGACAAGTGTGTGCCCACCATTGATGTCAAATTTAAGAAAACCCCTCTGTATGTTTGTTATGTGGTCCTATTCACACAGCATGCCGAAAAACAATTCAAAATGAAGATTTCTTACCTTTGTAGTTGTTTCTTTAGAACAGGATTATACATAGGACACTACAGACAGCTTATAGTTATACCAGCTTGCAGTTACAGGCGACAGACAGAGGGACAGTTCTTTAAGTACAATAACATACAATAGGGGTGGGGGGATTTATTAAAACTAGAACAGACAGAATCTGGAGATATGTCCATGGCAACCAATCAGCTTCTCTCTTCAGTTTGTTTAGTTAAGATTTGAAAATGAAAGAGAAAAGCTGATGGGTTGTCATGGGCAACCCACTGCTCCATATTCTGCCTGCTGCAGTTTTGATAAATTCCCCTCAATGTATCACCCAAGCCTTGAGATCTTTAACCCTTTGTTAGGACTCAGTGGGGGGAATTTATCAAAACTGGAGCAGAGAAAATCTGGAGCAGTTACCCATGTCAACCAATCAGCTGCTCTCTTCAGTTTGTTCAGTTACGATTTGAAAATGAAATAGAGAAGCTGATTGGTTGCCATGCACAGCTGTTCCACATTTTCTCTGCTCCAGTTTTGATAAATCCCCCTCAGTGTGTTTACAATTAATAATGAGATCTGCCAGCACAGTACAGGCAGGGTAAATTATGGTAAACATACACTCCCCAGCCCCCTCCCTACCATTACATAGAAGGGGGGCTAAGTAAGATTTTTCAGTTTGGAAGCTGTCAGAAAAGAGTGAGTAAGTGCTCATGCACAAGTCTGTATGAAAATGCTGCAACTACTACGCAGGCTCTTGTTGGCAGAAGTTGACAGCAAAAACCTGCCTAAAACTTGCTTTGTATGCTGTACGCATGTAATGCTTGTGCAATGTTTACATGTGTATAGTGTATAACACAAATATGTCCTACTGGTTGCTAGGATGCAAGGAGGCTCAGGGAGCCTGGACTCTAGCAGTGAAGGATATTAGACATCAAGGAGCTGACTGCATCCTAGTAACAAAGAACACTAGGCGCTGCGAGCCACCACTAGCAACAAAGGATGCCTCTTCAGAGGCACTCCAAAAGAAATGTTAAATACTGGCAATGTTATTCATCCAGACCCTAAATATCACCCTAACCGTCCCCCCTGCTCTTCCAAAGACCTCCTGCTTTCCAGCTCCCTTGTCAACTCCTCTCATGCTCGCCTCCAGGACTTCACTAGAGTCTCTACAATCCTCTGGAACTCTTTACCCCAACTTGTCCGTCTATCTCCCACTCTGACTACCTTTAGGCGATCCCTAAAGACTCATCTCTTCAGGGAAGCCTATCCAACCTCAACCTAACCGCTCAACCATCACGTTCTCAAACAATTCATCCCCACACTGCTACCTCCTCATGTATCACTTCCCCTCCCTTTTAGATAGTAAGCCCTCATGGGCAGGGCCCTCCTTACCATCTTGTCTTGAATTGTATTGTAATTGTAATGTCTTCCTTATATTGTAAAGCGCTGCGCAAACTGTTGGCGGTATATACATTCTGTATTAGAATAAAAATAATAATCCAGACAACATGAACAGAGTCCCTGCTTGGAACCTCCTCCGGCTGTGATGCGTTTCACCCACAAGGTGGCACTCCAGGAAATACAAAATTAACCCTTGCAATGGGACTACCCCCACACTGCAAGGGTTAAGTGCTCATTTTGGTCTAGGGGCTGGATTAAAGAAGATATACTTACTTGATCCTCAGTCCTCCCTACCTGCTAGACCGGTCCCTGCAGGCTTTTCTCCCCCCCGAGTTCTGGCAGTCTGAGCTCCGCTAATGCTATCACGTCTAATGCAGGTCCATTCACTTGCATTAGATGTGAAGATCAGGTGAACATAACTTCTTTATTCCGGCCCCTAGACCAAAACAAGCAGCTAACCCTTGCGGGTTAGTTTTGATACTAGCTAGAGTTCCTCTTTAATCTTTAATCATAGAGGTGAGGGTGAACCTCGGCTGTGTGCAGCCTGACAATTCCAAAATAAATTCATATGAAAATAACAAATTAAATTAACATTGCAGATGGAAATCTACTAATCTGGGGCAACCCAGGCCACAAAATTTCCACTAGGTTACATAGGGGAGGGGTTGTAACCAGTGGCGTAACAAAACCCAGGCGGCCGCTATGGGGCCCGGGCACAGGGGGGCCCGGCCAGGCATCCAGGCAGCCCGCCTAACAGCAACCCCGCCTCCTCTCACATCACTGGCCAGCGATCTAAGAGCAGGTGGGGCCAGTGATGTAAGAAGAGGTGGGGCCCGTCGATAGGAGGCGGAGAGGAGGCAGGGGCCCGGCTGTAGCGACCACAGAGGTGGACAATCCTGACAGGTAGAAGGCGTGCAGCCCAACTGAGACCTTTCAGAGCCCACCATAGAGAGTCTATGGTGGGCTCTGCAAGTGGCATAACTAGCAATCACGGGGCTCCATACAAAATTTTGCTATGGGGCCCCGTGATTTCTAGTTACGCCCCTGGTTGTAACACAAAGAGCTTGAACAAAGTGGGCCTCAGACTGCCGGTCTTGGGGACGGTTATAGTGTAGTTTTTTTTTGCAGCTCCAAATGGCAGATACTCCCTGCTGACAACTAGAGCTGCACTGCCCAGCCACAGAACAATATTTGTGCCTATTTCAGAACATGCAATCTACCTTGTCCCTTTCTATTTACTGCCTAAGTGTTCGCATATTGTCCTGACGCTGGTCAATTTCTACCAAACACAGACCCGAAGTCTATCATTTGAATATTTTGGGAATAATAGGGAATACAGAGTTGGGTGGGATTCGGGGAATGTAGGGTTGTGGTTCTCAAGTGTTTTTGTGCACTCTGTTTTGACGTTTAATTGAGATTTCAATAAATGGTTCTGCAAAAATGGTTTGAATTGTTGAGGCACTGGCCAGTTTGTACGAAGTTGGGGGCTTTAGCTTTATTCTTTTTAACAATAAATCAATTTGGGCCTATTATCACTTGATATAAAAAACGGGAGTTGCATGTTGAAATAAATGCTGCTGTCGTATGTAAGCCAAGCTAAATGTAAAAGGTAAAAAAAACAATTACACATCCAAAATATGTGATGCCAGTAGTGTTGCTGATGTTGTCCAGGAAGATCTTTCTGTTCTTCTTCAAAAGAGCTTGTACAGCACATCTTGTAACCCCAGTCTGCTTTGAAATCCTTACTTGGGAGAGACCTTGCTGATGCAGTATAACTACCTTGTGTCTTGTTGCTGTGCTCAGTCTTGCCATGGTGTATGACCTACACCTCACTCTAATCCTCCAAAATCCCTGACCCCATGCAAGTGTAAGAATTAATGCTGGTTTGAAGCCAAAGGGTAGTCACACAAAATATTGATTTCATCTGCAGTATAACTACCTTGTGTCTTGTTGCTGTGCTCAGTCTTGCCATGGTGTATGACCTACACCTCACTCTAATCCTCCAAAATCCCTGACCCCATGCAAGTGTAAGAATTAATGCTGGTTTGAAGCCAAAGGGTAGTCACACAAAATATTGATTTCATCATTTTTCTTCTGTTCACTTACTTTGCATTTTGTAAATTGATAAAAATAAACAATTAAAAAAAATAAGTATATATA